AGATCCCCAGTGCTCTGTTTTTTTTTTTTTTTTTTATATTAAGCACGATGTTTTGGAAGATCCCCAGTGCTCTGTTTTCTCAGTTTCACTCTCCCTGRGGCACTTTCTGCTTACACTCTTGTCAGCAGATAGAACACTGCTGCTGAGTCTTCCACAGTTGGTGATCTGTTAATAACAGGATTCTGAACCATGTCTATAGCAAACAGCACAGGTGACTTAAAAGAGGTTTTCAAATGGTAGGACTCCCATTTCCCTGTAGAAATTTTTAAAAAACAGCTCAAGAGCCATCATTCACCTCACTTGAAATGTAAATATTTTTTTATATTCATACAGTGTAGTTTYCTGCTCAGTGTCATTCAGAGCAAAAGCAGCATAACTGCAAGCAATCCTTTGCTTTTCTAAATCTGAGGCAACCTCAGAATACRCTGCCCACACAAATATTGGAACTGAATAATGTAACACTTTTATCACTCTAGARTATCTCAGGAATAACTCCTGACTCCTGGGTTTTAATATTCCAATTAGGAGAGATGCAATCCACAGCTTTGCTTTTGTGCTGCTAACATGAAGTTTGAATGGTCTTGGGATCACAATAAATAATTTTCAAACTGTGTTCGGTATCTGCACCACTTGCAGTAGTTCTTTGAGTACTGGACAGTTTTGTGCTGACAGAACGTAACAATTAAAGAATCTTCCAAGTACTTACACTGAACTTGAGAAACACCCATGAATCTCTGAAGAGGTGGTTGTGTTTGGTAGCTGCAGGCAAATCTCTGCATTTATTAAGAAATGGTTTGCTGAAGGAAGAGTTGTGATGACAACTGCAGGAAATGTCAGTGTGGGTGAGATACGTGTCATTAATGAGAAACATTAAAGCCTGAGATACGTGGCTTTAAAGAGAGACATTRGAGTCCTACTTGTTAATCAAGAATATAAAAGTAGAGTTTCCCTCAGGACAGAGCTGCAGGGAAAGGCAGAACAAATAAACACAGGAGATTATAGCTGGGGTAGAGGAGGTGCTGAAGAAAATTGGGTAATGGATAATATGCACCATGAGATTCCTCTCACAGATGGTGGTTAGATTTTAAGCACTTTTGTGGGTGAGGTGTTTTTTTTTTACTCTGTGTTGCACCACGTATCACTGTACTAATATTTTTCCTGGGGCTCCTAGTTACTACCAAAACAGAACAATCATTATCAGTAATAACCAACTTCCATTTTCTTTTTCTTTCCACAAAGTGAAGAAATCTCCACATGGAAATTTTCTTTGTAGAGCTGGGATCTATATGCAAGGGCTTCCAATCTGATTTTTTAATCTACAGATCTGTGGTGGTGGAAAAATGCTAGCAGGTTTAAGTGAGGTTTTCTCCATGGTCCCCAGAGAAACTGGATCCATTTACTGAGTCCTGCAGTGAACACAGGAATTTCTCTCCTCCTCTCAGACCACAGCCAGGGCCCAGTGGGGCCAAGCACCACCCTATTAGACCCACTGAGGCACTAACATGTCCTGCCCACAGGCAGCTCATTGCCCYCTGTGAGCATTTCTRKTCTGGTGGTTGCAGGTGTCTGAGTCAGGGCTGTAATTCCCTTATTTGTGGTGAATTTRCATCAAACCCCTTCATTAAGGAAATGCGTATTTTCCACTTTAAATGCAGTTTGGGCTGCAGGGAACAAGCACCAGGCAATCTGTTCTCTCCCTGGAGTGTGTGGGAGCAGCACTGAACTGACAGTTTTAAGTTTAGCCTGTGCCGCACTGGGAATCCAGGATCATCTTGTCCAAATTGTTGATTTAGTTGTTGCCTTTAAATAGTTACTTGATGCCATTTTGGGTTGGAAGCTCCTGCAGCCATGCTGTTCACTCTCAAATTCCTCTTCTGTATTCTATGATACTGTCCCCATTCTCTCTGATGGTCAAAGGAAGAGGCCAAAATGGATGGAACAAGAGAGGGTTTCTCAAAGTGGGAATTATCTGCAAATAGACTGTGGTATCAATCATATTGATTGACACTTTGAAGTCTTTCCTTATTATGGTTTTTATACACATCATGAATTACTTTTAGGCTGAGCTTATATATTTGTAAAACTTCAGCATTTGYAGGGTCTGAATCTTGAGAAGTCCGRGACTAAAGCAGTAAGAGTGTTACAGATTTGCAAAAGATTGGATTAGTGGTGTTAAATACAGGCTTTATTTCAATACACTTGAAAGAATTCAAGTATCATAGTATTTACATGTTTTATGCATATATGTAAAGGAGCATATTATRAATCCTTAAAAAAATAATGAATTGCACAATTAAGAGTGGAACAAGGGTTTACKCTCACTTCCAGATAGCAAATTCACTTTGCTAAATAAAAGCACTAAAGTCATCTGCCATGCTGCCTTCCAGGTCACAGACACTGAATATTTCAGCAGCACTACCAAACTTTTACACCTTCTTTTTTTCTGGAAGTTGTCTAGCAAACACTCTTTTTTTGACCAAAATACGTGCCAGGTTACTTCAGCTGTGACTGCACAAAACTTTGTTTTCCCAAATAAAATACTGAAAGCSCATTTGGGCTCTGGGCTGTCACTAAGAGCCCTGCAGAAAAGAGTCTCGTTCTCCCAGCTTTGGTAAAGGGATGTTACCTGAAAGAAAACAAAAAACAAGTTGTGTAAGACCAGCTGTAAGTTACCATGTGGGTAGGACAACCTGGCATGGAAGTGCTTCYCCAGTTTACTCCAGGTACAGGCAGCCTAAATCCCCTGAGCAAATCAGGAAAGTAACTCCTGTCTGACTTCGTGTAAGGAACTGTTCAACATGTGCAGTAACTTCAGAGTCAGGTCAGCCTCTGTACTGCTTCTGAAAAATTAATTGCACATTGTTGTACACAGCTGGCTACAGTAATTTACTTTAGCACTCCCTATTATTAACTAAAAGTAAATGCAGCTATGGCAGGTTATATTCTTTAGGTTGATCCAAGTGAGATTGATAGATTTTTGTAAGCAAGTCAGTACCTGGTGGAGCTACAAAATATTCCTCTACTTTCTCTCTGGCATTTTCCAGCAGCTCTTTGGTGCAGTTGCCTTCTGTCACATCATCYTCTCTGAGATACAGACACCTGAAAGACAAAGATTACTGGTTGTCTTTAAGTCATTGTGCRAAGTAAGAAGGGTGGCTTGTCTCTAAACCTGGTTTTCATCTCTTAAATAAACACCGAGACAAGTACTGGAACGTTTTGAAGCACCCAAAAATGCCGCTGGCGGGTATTTGGGGAGCAGCGTGACAATAAATACAGATTAAAGAACTGAAGTTCACCTTTGCTTCGCTCACACATAAAAATTGCATGTACCAATGGCAACTTTCTCCTACACAAAACCACACTAAGACATTTTGAGCAAAGGGGCCACATGCATCGTGATTCACAGGGAAAAAAAAGGTCACAAAAGCAAAGTTTGATGCACTGGCGGATAAAAGGAGGCTGCTGTGATTCACCACCTGTCCTCCAGCACTGAATCCATCGGTTCCACGCCATCGGTGTTCACTTCATGAAGCTGATCAGCAAACTGGATCGCTTTCTGCAGCCGCTCCACGCCCTCCGAATCCCGGAAATCCACCAGGGCCAGGTGCTCCAAGTGGTCCAGCACTTCCACCGACACTTTCTGCTGCACAAAGGCACCAATATGGACAAAAAGCGTCAAAAATTAATAAGCTCAATAGTGCTACTTTAACTAAAAACTTATTACACGTCAAAACCAAAGTTTACAAAGAATCCTAAAATCACTAAGGCTRGAAAAAACCTTTAAGGTCGTCAAATCCAACCGTCAACCTACTGGAAGGGACCCGCTGATTCCGTGTTAAATTAGCGCGCGTTTTATCCTGTTTCTACCCTCATGCCTGCCGCGGGACAAACCGTTGGTACCTGCGGCGGGAGCGTGCTGTGCCACCTCTCCGGGAGCGGGGGGACCCGCCAGGCGCGGAGCCACCGCCCGAGCGACAGCGCCCGCATCGCGCCCCTCAGCGCCTCAGGGAACCGCTGAGCGCCTCAGGGAACCGCTGAGCGCCGGACGGAACCGCTCAGCACGGACGGAACCGCTCAGCGCCGGACGGAACCGCTGAGTGCCGGACGGAACCGCTCAGCGCCTCAGGGAACCGCTGAGCGCCGGACGGAATCGTTCAGCGCCGGACGGAACCTCTCAGCGCCTCACGGCACCGCTCAGCGCCGGACGGAACCGCTCAGCGCCTCACGGCACCGCTCAGCGCCTCAGGGAACCGCTCAGCGCCGGACGGAACCGTTCAGCGCCTCACGCTCCGCTCCGCGCCTCAGGGAACCGCTCAGCACGGACGGAACCGCTCAGCGCCGGACGGAACCGCTCAGCACGGACGGAACCGCTCAGCGCCGGACGGAACCGCTCAGCACGGACGGAACCGTTCAGCGCCTCAGGGAACCGCTCAGCGCCTGACGGAACCGCTCAGGGAACCGCTCAGCACGGACGGAACCGTTCAGCGGCTCACGGCTCCGCTCCGCGCGTCACTCGGGGCGCACCGGATGCGCGTCAGTCGGCGGCGCGCCCGGCCCGTATCGGCGCGGCCGCCGCGATGAACAGTGTGGGCGAGGCGTGCACCGAGCTGAAGCGCGAGTACGACCAGTGCTTCAACCGCTGGTTCGCCGAGAAGTTCCTCAAGGGCGACAGCGCCGGCGACCCCTGTGGGCAGCTCTTCAAGCGCTACCAGCTCTGCGTGCAGGTGCGTCCGGGCCCGGGGCACCGGGCCCTCTTCCATCCCTGCCCGAGCATCCTTCCCCGTGCTGACCCTTCTTACCGCCCTCCTGGTACCCCAGCAGCAGTCTCAGCCYTCGCCGGTGCTCAGCGTGCTGCTCYGGRTTTGTCYTKCCCTGTGTSTGTCGGTCATGTCATGGAGTATTTGACAGGCGTTTCCYGTTGTGTTTTTATTGTACATAACTTCGTAAGGCTGTTGGTGTAGAGGCGGCAGCTCGCTTCCGTGATAGAATCCGGACTGTACTTCAGTTTGTTCTCAGTACGTCCTTGACCAACTTTAACTTGAAGCTTCATTTGAAACAGCCTTGTCACTACTTTTTTTAGATCACCTTTTTAGAGAATTTCCAATCTTCCAGGCAACAAGTGATAGGACAAGAGGCCATTGACTTAAGCTGCACCAGGGAGGTTTCGGTTAAACGTGAGGAATTTTTTCAGAGAAAGGGTGATTWGACATTGGAATGGGCTGCTCAGGGAGATATTAAAGGAAAGACTGGGCATGGCCATGGTCTGGTTGACATGGTGGTGTTGGGTCATAGGTTGGACTTGATGATCTTAGAGGTTCTTTACAGCCTAATTGCTTCTGTGATTCTGTATTTTTGTACCAAAGATTACATCACAACAGCCCTCTAAAGAACTGTCAAGTTTTATTATTTGGCTTTCCTTTTCTTCTTTTCAGAAAGCAATAAAGGAAAAGGACATTCCCATTGAGGGCCTGGAATTCATGGGCCCGAGTAAAGGAAAGACTGAAAACTCCTCTTGATGTTGGCTGTATGGGTGGAGTCACTAATATGAGCCTTTGGCCTAAGCACCATCCCCAGTGTACCACAGATGCCACCTGGATAAGACCTTTAGACCTTCATTAACTGCTTTCTAGGAAGCCAGGAATCCTTTCTGCTTCTGAAAACAAACAGCTAAAAGAAAAAAAAAAAAAAAGAGACTGGATCATGTGGTAACTGCTGCCTCCTTTCCAGTGAATGTTGGTGGTGGTTCTGCATCTAATGGCTTAAAAATCCATGTGAACTAACTTCCTACTGAATGTACTCTGTAATAGGGGAATGCTGGTTGGGGTGGGCTGACATAGTTTCTTTGTGACTGATTTATTTTGCTTATTTATATAAYACTTGAAAGCATCTAAAAAGAATATGGAAGGGGTTGATGTGCTTTCCATCACCTCTGTGCTGCTGAATTTTGGTGAACAAGTTTGTTTCATGTGATCCTGAATGCTGAAGGGCTTAAGCACGGTTTTGTGTCAGCAAATGGTTTAAAGGCATTACTGAACCTGCAACAGCTTGGCTAAAATAAATATAACCAGGYTATATTTTGTTCAAGTAGGTAACTGTGCAGTAGAGTCTTGATTGTGACCTCTAGGAGGGATGGAGGTGGCCTGAAGAGGAGRCTTTTAATGCAGAGGTTACTTCAGCCTTTTCTGAGGTACTGACACAACCATGAACTTGAATTCTCTCTCCTTTAGCATTACACATTCCTGTGGTTTGATCCTAACACAGGGATGGGACAAAGCGGCCCCCTCTCCTTACACAGATGTACAAGATAYTATGGCCTGGGGACAAAAGATAAGTTAACTTTCCTAATTCTAGAATTACAGCAAAGAAAAAAGAACCCATCACTCTCTGCTTTTAGTTACTACTAATTATTTAAAGGTTTTACTTTAAAAAAAAACCCAAAAACTTGCAGTTCTTGAACATTATAGCTGGCCCATCTGCACCGCAGCCCGTCACAAACCCCAGACAGTGAGTCCTGTGGGCCTTGTGCAGATCAGGAACTGCTGCAGCCYGGGGCTGTCCAGGTGAGCCACACTCCTGTTCTCAGCTGCAGAGAGCTCCTACAGTGTCAGCACAGGGGTTAAACAGCACTGAAAAACCAAACTGTTGAGGAAGTGCTGCATGACTCCTATAAATAACAATAGGGATCTAAGGGAAAGATCTATAAATAGCATTTTGGAGACTGTCAACTATGTAGTTTTTCTTTTTTAAGGAATAATACACAGAACCAGTTTGCTTTTCTATGATCTTCACAAAACCAGTTTGCTTTTCTATGATCTTCACGTAGGACTAAATCTAATGTAATTTTGTCAGCTTTTAAACTGTGCCCATCAGTGCCTGGTCCCTTTAACACAGAAAACTTGTCTCAGCAGTCTTACTGGTAAGAAGATGAAAAAAAATTGCACTGAAACATGGGAAAGGGCATTCTGCAGTACCCATTTTGTGAGTCTCTCTTACCTGTCAGTCCTTTCAACAGCAAGATGCCAAAGCAGCTGCTGCATTCTTCATTTTGGGAAGAAGCGAATTAATGATAGCTGAAACAGCTCAGTTTCACATCATGCAAAAAACATAAAAGTTACAGAAAGAATTGGGAAATGGTTGACTTCTAGTGAGCAAAAACTTCAAAATGAAGATGTACTGGCACAGAATGTACCTGGCTCATAAATCCCTCCTACTTTAAGCAGTTTCTGCATGACACAGTACACATGGATGTAAGCAGTAGAGTCAAAATTGTGTTTTCTTCTGCAAAACTTGTGTGAGAGACAGACTGCAGCTTTATGGGAAGCAGAGTGGTGAGCAAGATATATACTGATGTACTTGAAAATTYGAGAGCTGAAGGTGAACACTGTAAAGGCACACAGAACTTAGCTCATCTTTGCTGCCACTCCCTCTGCCAGAAGGGACCAAGAGAAAATCACCTTCGTGACCGTTAATAAATATTGCAATAGCTGATGATGGAGAATGTGCTTCAGTATATGTTAAACTTTCATCTGCATACTTGTTCTTCTAGCTGTGAATTCAGAGTCATCAGTTAAATCATGAAGAGTATGAAATTGATTCGTGTCCAATGCCAAATGCATTCTTGTTTTATCAGACACAGGAACAGCTGCTAACTTTCACACAGTCAAATGCTTTTGCTCCTGCACTGTGTTCTGTGGGCAATCTTAATGCTTTAAGCAAACATTGAACTAAAACACTTTTAAGGATTCCGGCTAACCAACAAGTCAAATCCCAAATTCGCGTTCAGAGTTGTTTATTTAAAGGACCCCATCACAAGTACATACAGAAGCCATACCACCACTCAGCTTCATCACAGAAGAAATGCAGRGCTTCGAAATTATGACCCCAGAAGTGACGATTCCCACTCAACATTCTGGTTCAAGRTGGGGAGAGCCACAGTTCTGGCAGTGGTCAGGATCTTGGTTTTAATCTTCATAACCGGTTGGGAGAGCGTTCACGTGGGGGTTGTGAAACAGTGTTTTGTTCCCATCACCCCAGGGGAAACGCTGTTGAAAGAAGAAAAAAACAAACCAGTGGCAGCTCCTGAACAATCCCTACAGCACCAAAGAGAAACCAAGAGCATGGCAGACTCAAACATCAAYTCCCCCAGGCAACTAGTGACAGGACAAGAGGAAACAGCCTCAAGCTGTGCCAGGGGAGGTTCAATCTGAACATCAGGAGGAATTTCTTCACAGAAAGGGTTGTTAAACATGGGGATAAATTGGGCAGGCTGGTGGGGTCACCATCCCTGGAAGTGTTTATGTAYAGACTGGATGTAGCACTTAGTGCCATGGTCTGGTTGACATGAAGTCTTTTCCARCCTAAATGATTCTTGACAGGTATCTGTTCCCAGGATGCTGGAAGGAAGATTTGGAAAACTGTCTCCCTTAGCTAGGAGCCACAGTCTCGAACACAGKCCAATCYTTGTTCTTGCTTAAACAKCAGCTGTACTGTATTATGAGGACCCCAGTTTTGAGTATTTTGGGATCTCCACTGTTAGCTTTTAGATCTGTGTTAGTTTAAGCACAGCATCTCTAGGACTTAAACATTTTCCAGCAAGACATTAGGAGCATCACTTGGAGGTAGGAAGGCCTGGGAATACCATGGGTACTTCATCTGAGCTGTGAGAAACTCTCTTACTGCCTCAGAAACAGCCCAGAGTTGAGATCACAGCCAGCTCATGCAGCAGATGAGAAAGCAGAGGTGCTGCAGCAATCTCAGAGGRAGCTCTGCAGTCCTGGAGGAAAAGAGAGCTCTTAAACATCGCAAAGGTACCTTGGTCCTGATCCTGAGGTGGGAGTAGGGCACGAACTCGGGCCTCTCGTGCTCGCCGTGCTGTGCCTTCAGRTAGCAGTTGAGCATGCACACGGCCACGCCGGGCAGCGCCACCACGAAGGACAACGTCTTCCACATGCGGGCTGGACGAGGGGACAGCAATCACAACAACAGTCACCACTTTCATTAGCATTACTGACCCGACAGCGCGCTAAGTACGATTAGCCATTGAACGAGGCAATAATGAACCCTAAATCCCACGCTCGAGCGCGGATCCCCTCCCCGTTGGTAACTGGGATCCGGGCTCACGGTTCCAGCCCCGCTGCCCCTGTAGAAACCCACACCGAGCGCCTGCCGCCCCCTGCACCCGCAGCGAAGGGCACCGGCCGTCAAGGACAGCGCCGCACGGGCAGCGAACCCTTGCTCCGCCCTCGCCCCGCAGAGCCCCGTTACCTCCGCCACCCTCGTGTGCCGCGGCTGCCATGCCGCGCGCCGGCGCGGAGCTCGGGGCGGCGGCGGCGCCGAGCAGCAGGCGGGACACCCGTCCGAGCGCCGCCATGTCCTCCCCGTCCGCACACCGGAACCGGAACCGGAACCGGAACGGGAACCGCGCGGGCGGAACCGGCGGCGGCAGCGGCCGCGCTGACCTTGAACAGGGCCGCGCGCGCGCAGGGGCGGGGCAGTGACGTCACCGCGGGGTGTCCTGAGGGGCGGCCCGGCGCCATCTTGGGGCTGAGGACGGGGCTGAGGACGGAGCTCCTCCCTGGGGCGGGACAGCCGCCGAGTGGCAAAGACCGAGAATCGCTGAGGTTGGAAGTGGAATGAGGGAACGTCGTGTCCATCCTGTGACCGAACCTCACCGTGTCAAACAGACCRTAGCACTCAGTGGCACGTCCAGTCTTTCCTTAAACACCTCCAGGGACGGTGACTCTACCAYCGTCTTGAGCAGCTCATTCCAATGTCTGATCACACTTTCTGTGGAGAAATTACTCCTGATATCCAACCTAAACCTCATCTGATGCAGATTGAGGCTGTTTCCTCTTGTCCTGTTGCTATGGCCTGTGAGAAGAGGCTGCTCCTCACCTGCCTACAACCTCCCTGTCAGGTAGAGAGTGATAAGTAGTTAACAGAGTGAAAAGTTCTGGGGCTGTGAGGACAAGGGAGAGTGCTGGGTGCATCCCAGGCATGAGCGGATCAAAGGACTCCTCAAATGGGGCAGTTCTGGTACTAACGTGTTTTTAAATTGTGTCCAATTTACTGTGTCCAATTGTGTCCAATTTACTGTGCAGCATAAAGGAATGGTAAAATGGCCAGGATCTTGGAAGGCTATTGTGAAACACAACTTGGCATAAAAATACTGCTCAGTTGTTTACTGTATCTTGGCAGTATAAACTGTTAAAAGTGCTTTAGAAGTGCTATGGTTTCTTTGCTTCCATACCAAAAGAAGTTATTCCCAGGTGGTACTGTATGTTCCTGCAGAAGTATTCTGTCTTTATGGACATGATACATTTTGTACAGAATAGCCTTCAAACCACTAGGACTCACTGTGAGCACTCACATCTGCTTTGCTAAATCCACATTTTGGATTTTTAGCATGGRGGTAGATTTTGCCTTTCCACCCCTTCATCCTTTGGATTCAGGCTTATGAGATGTCTAGTATCAGACTTCTAATTTAAAAGGAATTTGCATGTGTTTTTTGTTTTGTGGTTTTTTTGGGGCGGGGGGGGGGGGAACAGAAGATCTGAGAATTATTTTGTACAATATTTCAGCAATGAAACCAAGATTAAGTTCTGTATCCTAAWGCAAATTTGTAGCGGGAGCTACATAAACAAAACTACTCTTGTTTGTAGCAAAAAGAACTTYAAGTAAGCAGCAGAAACTAATGTTTATGAATGAGAAAAAACGAAGGATCACCAAAACAAGAAAACTTCTGTCTAGGATGAGGAAAAGTTCTCTCTAAACTGAAACAGATTTGTGAGTTGTGCTGCTGCTGCAGCAGTCTCAAAACACAACATGCAAGTGTTCAGCAGGAGGTGAAAGCAGCCAAGGTTTGTTTCTCCCTCACACCTTTACTCCTCTAACCGTCTGGAAAATGCTCTTTGGAGAAGGAAATGCTCACAGAGAGCAGGCAGTAGTGGCAACTCTTAGTGCAGCTGCCCCAAGTGCACCTTGTTTGAACGACTGCAGCAAGCTGGTAGAGGCGGAGTTCTGTAGAGAGGAAGTTGACTCACTACAGTGAAAAATAATGTTTKTAGTGCAAAAGCTCGGTTTTATAT